TTATTCCCAATTTTCTCTTAATTCTCGTCTAAATTCAGTTTCCCCTTCCCGCGCGAAGCGCGGAAGTTTTGACGTTTCATTAAATTATTAGAGAAAGCAGACGATTCGCTGTACCGTTTTCGACTCTTAATAAGCCCTATTTATCTTAATTCAGTTTCCCCCTCTCGTGCGAAGCGCGGAAGCCTTGACGTTTCCTTAAATTATTACAGAAAGCAGACGATTGGGTGTACTGTTCTCGACTCTTAATTCTCGTCTGAATTTAGTTTCCCCTTCCCGCGCGAAGCGCGAAAAGCTTAGACGTTTGACTTAATTATTTTATATAGAAAGAAGACGATTCGTTGCACCGTTTTCGACTCTTAATAAGTCCTATTTATCTGAATTCAGTTTCCCCCCTCTCGCGCGAAGCGCGGAAGCCTTGACGTTTCCTTAAATTATTAGAGAAAGCAGACGATTGAGTGTACTGTTCTCGACTCTTAATTCTCGTCTGAATTCAGTTTCCCCTTCCCGCGCGAAAAGCTTAGACGTTTGATTTAATTACTATAGAAAGAAGACGATTCGTTGCACCGTTTTCGACTCTTAATCCCTATTTATCTAAATTCAGTTTCCCTCTCTCGCGTGAAGCGCGGAAGCCTTGACGTTTCCTTAAATTATTAGAGAAAGCAGACGATTGGGTGTACTGTTCTCGACTCTTAATTCTCGTCTGAATTCATTTTTCCCCTCCCGCGCAAAGCGCGAAAAGCTTAGACGTTTGATTTAAATATTATAGAAAGAAGACGATTCGTTGCACCATTTTCGACTCTTAGCAAGCCCTATTTATCTGAATTCAATTCAATTCATTCAATATAAACAACAAATATAAACAACTCTCAATCAGATGCGTTCACAGTTTTCACACCTCTTAAAAAATGTTTCTGGAATTCATATAATGATACACGTACTGTGTTTATTATTTAAATCTATATGAATTCTTTGATTTCCTCAGCCAAATCCTTTCTCAAATATAAAATTAATAAGAATGTGTACAGGCTTACCTGGAAATAACTGAAGAGACAAACGGCCACTGTAAGTCTTAAACACGCCAGGTCTGTAACTTCAGTCGTCATCTACCCCCCCCCCCCCACACACACACACACACTCCGGGGTCGGAGGGACCGCATGCGCGTTCCTAAAATCTCCAGCGGAAAGGGGTATTATTTCGCGCGACTAAATCCGGCCCGAGAATTGTAAAATAAAGGGGGTGTATTTGACTTTTCACCGGGAGATTTCTTTAAAAAGGGGGTGGTTTTTTTTTCTCTCTCTCTCTTTAGACTCCTGAGAAATGTAAAAAGGGGGTTATAAAATATCTTGAATATCATAGAAAAATTGATCGAATCCCGGGATCAAATTCCTGAAACTCCTGCTAGCTTTGAAAGCTCATTCAGAATTATTTCATGTTGAAAAGTAAAAACATTGGCCCCCAGCCCCCCAGTCCCCCTCGATCGACTAGATCTCACCTGAAATTTGGGGGGGGGGGGGGGGGTCTCCAAGGCAGGAAAAGCCAGCGAAAAGCGGGCGAAAGGGGGATTCGGAAATGTTGGCAGTCCTGAGATAGGGGTGGGAGGGGGTGCTTTCAAAGGGAGGGAACGAGCATACTCGTACCCTAAATAACACTGAAAGGGGGGGGGGGGGGGAGGAGCCGGGCATCTACTGTACATGATTGCACTTTTTAAGTACTTGCGCGCTGGCGCACTTTACGTCTAGGCTATAATAATACCTTGCAAAATAACGAAAAATGATTCTGAAGTTTATGAAGTGCTTGTTCGCGCACGGCGCGCAACTACTCTTAATGATCGTGACATACTGTATACGTGTAGGCTATACAGTTATACATACATTAAAAAAACAACTCATTTCTCATGCATTATGCTGAAAGTGAAACCATCACATTTTTTTCCTTCTTCTTCTTCCTTTTTTTTTCTGTCTTTTTTTTTGTAATCTCAGGGGGGGGGGGGGTGATTGTACAGGCCATCCCCCCTACTTCAAGCCAGGGGGATGCAGCCCCCCCCCCCCATCCCCCCGGGATTTACGCCCCTGGAGTGAGCAAATTACTATATCACTAAATCACTTCATTGATGTTATTTGTAGATAAGTACCACTCACGACTTCCAACTAAATCTGTCGCGAGCAGTCACATCCAGTGGCGTAGACAGGTTCGTACACCTGGGGGGATGACTCAGGGGCGGATCTAGCTTTTTGCTAATGGGGGGGGTTGACCAATAATGACGATGCAGAGCATCGTCCACGAGCCGCGAAGCGGCGAGCCGATTTTTTTTGGGGTGTTTATTTGAACCCCGTAAGTGATGTTTTCCTGGCATCTATTAACACAATGGAGACAATAAAAAGCAGTGCATGATAACGTCTTTTTAAATCAAGTAACAGTTAAATACACAGTTATATCCAGAGTTATCATGTGTTTGGTTAAGTTACCAGATGAGTTGAATATCTTCTCACAATATTTGCACTTGAAAGGGTTTCTCTCCAGCGTGCGTTCTTTTTTCTTTCTTTTTTTCTTTTTTTTCCCATTTTTTTCCTTTTTTTGTTGTTTGTTTTTTGGGCCGCCCAAGGGGGGCGGGTTAAACCCCCTAACCCCCCCCCGTAGATCCGCGCCTGTTTAATCTTGTGGTTATCTTGTGGTTTCCAAACCACAAGATAACCACAAAATACTTGTAAGATTTTCTTTTTTTTACCGTCTGAATTGGCTTTCACCGTGTGAATGCGGCTAATAACAATAAACACAATTACAATAATGATGAGGATTATTATTATCATCATCATAATTATTATTATTATTAATATTATAATTGTTATCATTATTATTATTACTATTATTATCATCATTATGACTTATTAAGTAAGCAAATATCATTCCCCAAAACCTGGGGGGGGGGGGGGTGATTGTACATGCCATCCCCCCCCCCACCTTGTGAGGTGGGGGGATGCATCCCCCTCATCCCCCCGTTGTCTACGCCCCTGGTCACATCTACTCATGGAACGATGATAATAATAATCAAATAATAAAAACGGTGTTTATAAAGTGCTACCACCGGTGTCTCTAAGCGCTATAACAAGAAAAGCACAATCATTTTGTTGTTGTTGAAATAAATCTTAATTCAGATAAAATCATGGATAACATCATACTTAAATACTGATAACAAGCACTTAATCACATGTTTAAATGAAATGAAATCAAATTATATATCTGTATTTACTTGAAAGAAGATCGTAGATGCATTTCCTGTAAATCAGTAATTAACTTTCTCCACTTAGTAATATTCACATCTGTTGTCTTAGTTTTATTTCCTCTACTTCTAGTCTGTATTTCAACAAAAATAAAAAAGTATTTGCTTATTATTTTCGTTACTACATTTTTATCAAATTGATTTACAACACTCGTTTTATAGATTGCAAAACACAATGATAAACAATTACATATTAAACAAAACAACAACAAAAATTCTACTGATCATAATGTCAAGCAGTAAACGATGATGGTATGCAGACTTATTCGCTTGGTTTCATTCTATGTTACATGCACTGACGACTGTATTTTTCTATACCGCCTCCTTTTCTCCTTTGCTTCCCCTTTTTTATTTTTTCTCCCAAATTTAAAGCATTGTGTTGATGGGAAATTTGGTTTTGTAATAATTTTAAGATAAAAAGATGTTGTATAGTTTGTTTTATTTAATAATTTGTGAAAAGTACATTATGTTAACAACAACCACTGGAACGGGGACAGAAGGCTTTTTGTCACAGTTATAAAAGGTTAATTGATTTTGTACCTCACGTTCCAACGGTGGTTGTATTATCTATTATTTTGCTATGTCGTCTATTTTATGATTTGTTATGTATTTTCTTTGTTACCAAATATAATAACATAATTAATACTAATAATTAATAGTAATGGTCTCTACCCCCAAAAAAATAAATATAAAAAATCAAGTTTTTTTTTATCGCAAAATAATCATTGGGTTCACCATTACCTGAGATCACGCCAGTCCACATGTTTCAATGTCGTATAAAGTATCATTTTTTTAATCGAACAATTGCAAAATGGTGCACCTTCCACCCTCCAGATCCGGTGAAAAACGGTGAAGCCCTGGTTGTCGTTTGTCTCTCTTGATTTTCAATTTATTTATTTTTATATGGGGGTTAGGGATGTTTACACCCATGCGCTTGATACGTCTGACGCCTAGATAATCCACTGAATGATTGAAAGTGTGAAAGACTGATTTGTTCTAAATAGGCTATTTTCTTCTTCTAGTTGTACAGAATAAATAGAATAAAAGAGGGGCCCGATGTGTTCTTAGGCCATCGTTTTTAAAATCTGATTCATTTATCATTTAGTTGTTAAATGGATTCGGTCTTCCTTTTTGGTTTGGCATGCTCTTGCTGTAGGAATCTTTTTGACGATCTTGCAATTTGGCCCAAGACTTGTTTAGTGACAGAACGATCATGCTATTACAGGCTGATTGGTATTTAATAAACCATTACGAATGACGAATTGTTTCCCGCGGTTTTGGGTTTTTAGAAGAAAAAATTGCGTGTAGTAAATTCACCCATATCATATAGCTTGTAAACTCTGTATCTGCAGCCGCTCTCAGTCCACTGAGGTGTCATTAAGATGGGAGTTCCAAGATGGCAGTATGGTACCCCACGGTTAATGAATCATTGACCGCACACACGATTCCACATCGCATTACACTCAATTTGTGTGTGTATATTGAAGCTCGAAGGATGGGATGTGAGAGTTCAGTGGTTCATGACAGATTCATGACAGGTACAAAAGCCTATAATGGACATTTTATTTTAAAAAATCACAAAAACTCAAAATAAACTATTTAATTTAATAAATAATTATAATAAAATATATATATATTTTTTTACATTGTTGAACAAAAATAATAGTTTTCAGCGATGCGAATTTAATCTTAAATATTATAGAACGAGGATTTTTTATGTGATTCTTGCCGCGACATTTTGTACGGAAAGCTAATCGAAAGTCGAGTTCCTGCGAGAAAAAACGCTGCATTTCCAATGGTTTCTAAAGTGAACGCAGTCTTTCGTCATTTATTTGGGTCTGAGAGACATCAATCCAGTTCTGGATCGAGAAAACGTCCTTCAGAAAGGTAATAAGATCGATTATTTTCAAGAAAACTTGAGGCTACATTATTATTAATCGGTCCCATGTGTAGTAATATAAGTTGGTTGTCAATAGAGAGCGGATGCACACATAGCTGCATTACTGTACTGCAGTACATTTACACAATATTTTTGTAAAACCTGCTGCAGCTACTGTACTAAACTTTTATCATAAAAAAAACACTCAACATTAATGATAAATAACATTAACAAACAAATAAAATTTAGACTACCAGTTTCGTTTATGAAATTTTTACTTGTGAAGTTGAGTTTCCGGTAATTCTAGCAACACAGTAGGGTGTCTGATCGCGCACCCGATGTGGTGTGCTAAAATTCTTCCCATAGAGATTACACGCATCCCTATGCAGCCTACGTGCATTGCGCGACCATGCAAAAAAAGTCAATTTTTTTTTTTCAAATCGAGATTCAAACCTTTATTAGGGTGTCTGAACGATTTTTCAAATTTCAATTTGGGATCGTTTTTCACCATTTTTGTTTGATATTTGAATAAAAAATGTTATCAGAATAATACATTTCAAATTTCAAGTCTCACCGATGTTTCTATCAAAAGTTACAGCCCCTCCAACACGCTGGTATATTCATATCATTTTGGTCAAAATCGTCGAAAAAGACGTCCACGCAGAGTGATGTTGTTTTGCTAAATTTAGCCAAACAGCTGTATCGCGCGATATGCAAGCGTATGCATATCGTACGCATGCTGCTAAGCCAATCCGCGACTTGCAGCTTGAGCTACGCTGTCTCCGCGACATGTGCGATTGACTAGTATGGTTGGCGTTCGTCGCACAATAAACCCGGAAGTGAATGCACGTTATAGTCAATGGCAATATCGCGGAGACAACGCACGTTGTCTCCGCGATATTGCCATTGACTATAACGTGTATTCACTTCCGGGTTTATCGAGGGAATTTCCAACCATAATTTCAGTCACTATAATGTGTAATTGAATTTGGGGTTTCGTTCGTGCGCGGAGATGTTACGCGATGTAACCATGGTTTGGACTGAGCGGAGCGCACGCCCCCTAATTAGCTGATCCACCAAATAGCGAGAAGGGTATTTTTAAACTGTTATCAGTTGTGATCCCTGGGGGCTAGCGAAAATATAATCACATAGAATTGTTCCTTAGGACTGGGACTACTTATCGATCGGGGCGTCATATCTCAAAAGTGACAAACCTCAGAGTTAGCCAGGACACAATGTTTAAATTGCTGTTTTGACCAAGATATTTTTAGAATTTCGGGGGCTACGCCCCTTTGGAAATATTGGAATTCACCTGCTCTTTCATATGACACCTCATTCATTGATTATCACCTTCAGGATCACAACTGATAAAGGTTTGAATCTCGATTTGAAAAAAAAAAATTGACTTTTTTTGCATGGTCGCGCAATGCACGTAGGCTGCATAGGGATGCGTGTAATCTCTATGGGAAGATTTTTAGCACACAACATCGGGTGCGCGATCAGACACCCTACCTTTATCTGTTGTGATCCTGAAGGTGATAATCAATGAATGAGGTGTCATATGAAAGAGCAGGTGAATTCCAATATTTCAAAAGGGGCGTAGCCCCCGAAATTTTAAAAATATCTTGGTCAAAACAGCAATTTAAACATTGTGTCCTGGCTAACTCTGAGGTTTGTCACTTTTGAGATATGACGCCCCGATCGATAAGTAGTCCCAGTCCTAAGGAACAATTCTATGTGATTATATTTTCGCTAGCCCCCAGGGATCACAACTGATACATTGTAACAGTTTAAAAATACCCTTCTCGCTATTTGGTGGATCAGCTAATTAGGGGGCGTGCGCTCCGCTCAGTCCAAACCATGGTTACATCGCGTAACATCTCCGCGCACGAACGAAACCCCAAATTCAATTACACATTATAGAGACTGAAATTATGGTTGGCAATTCCCTCGATAAACCCGGAAGTGAATACACGTTATAGTCAATGGCAATATCGCGGAGACATCTCCGCGATATTGCCATTGACTATAACGTGCATTCACTTCCGGGTTTATTGTGCGACGAACGCCAACCATACTAGTCAATGGCACATGTCGCGGAGACAGCGTAGCTCAAGCTGCAAGTCGCGGATTGGCTTAGCAGCATGCGTACGATATGCATACGCTTGCATATCGCGCGATACAGCTGTTTGGCTAAATTTAGCAAAACAACATCACTCTGCGTGGACGTCTTTTTCGTCGATTTTGACCAAAATGATATGAATATACCAGCGTTTTGGAGGGGCTGTAACTTTTGATAGAAACATCGATGAGACTTGAAATTTGAAATGTATTATTCTGATAACATTTTTCATTCAAATATCAAACAAAAATGGTGAAAAACGATCCCAAATTGAAAATTGAAAAATCGTTCAGACACCCTAACAACAGTTTGCTGAGCCATCAGTAGGGGCGCTGTCTGAGAATAAGAACTGTCCGCATAAACAAGGATCGTCTTTGTAAACGCGGACAGACATGTCGAGTCTGCAAAAATAAGGATCCTCTGCATTTTCGCTGATGATTCTTCCGATCCGCGCATTGGCGATGCGAAAAACCGATTAGACCTCTACGCGATAATTTTCTTGATGCATTTCACATTGACTTTGTACTGAGACTTTCACATTATGAGCGATAAATCCTCAGGAAGACGGACAACCCATAAAAGTAGACGATTAACTGGGGGTATTCTATTACACTGAATCCGTTTTTTCACAATAACATGCCTTATCAATAAAAATGGAAAGATTCCTTGAAGATGGATGAACATGATCTGACCCACTCCAGCAAAGCATAGAGAGTCAATACTAATGCGTATTGACCTCTAGCACTGCATGCTTGCTGTGAGGAAGGTATTATTAGACCTAGTCTAGAGTAAAGGAGGGGGTTTTCTGCCACTGAAGACAAAATCCTATTTTTTGGACCCGTAATTTCCTATTTATTATCATTTCTTGTTCAAATCATGAAGCAAATATTATTATTATTTAAACAAAAAAAGAATCCCAGAAAAAAAATCACAAATTGCCATGACAATATTCATTTAAGGGCAGGTCCAAGCTATTTGGATTGTGACGTACGGGACATTCAGAGACTTTAAACAAGAAATAACAATGGATGAAATTATTTATATGGCTATCTTTTGGTATGAGTCTGTGGCTATTATGGGCTAGTTCATTTGTGGAAAGTTTTAGTTCTGACCAATTCATAAATTAATTTTTAATGTAATTAATGTGCTGCGTGACGTACGGGACCAGAGAATTTCTGACTTTTTCAAAAATAAGTTTATCGTAAAAATTCTCTGAATTTATGAAGTTATGAGATTTATGGTAATGATATCTTAATTCATTATGGAATCAAGCATTAATCACAACTATAACCATATTTTTCTGACCTTCCGTTGTTATACCAAAACATAAATGTGTGTATGTGACGTACGGGACACGTGACGTACGGGACAACTTTTCCCTAGATGGGAAAATGCATTGAAATGAAGAATTTTCGTCAAAATTTGTTAAATATGAACAATTTTAACTTAAATCAGTGACAATTAGAGTGTTTTAGAACCCAATTAGATCCTCTGACCATCACTCAATATCCTCTGTGTTAATTTATGAGGTAAATCAATACAAATATTACTTTAATAAAGAAAACAAATTAAATTACATACATACACACACACTATATTACCATTTTTATTCCATTTACCCATCTATCATGTGCAGTCATGCTTCTTTTCTCATTTCTTTCATCCATTCCATTCAACAGTGCTACATGTACATGTAAATGTTTTAAAATAATAATTAATGAAGAAGATGAACTTGAACTTGAAAACTTTCATTAAAACTTGTTTGAAACACGGGGGCACACTCGGCACATCATATTTTGTGAACAAAGATACAGTACATTACAAATATGAAATCTTTTCTTCATAGCTTGTTTGAATTACTTGATAGTAATATCATAGAATTTTGAAGGAATTCAAAGATAACGCTGAACATATTGTCTTATTCTAATCTTTTTATCACAGATTAGAACATGTACATGTATATGTTGCTGTCATATATTCAAGAATTTTAATGTACCGGTACATTAATGTACATGTTTGTGAAAGATGGATACAAAAATATAAATCTTGAATGTATTTTGTATTGATTAAAGACATCTTATTAACACCACCAGATATAATAAATTGAAACCCTAAAGGTTTGTGTGACCTTTTCCACAATTCAAAAGATTAAGGCGTAATTCAACAAAAATGCATGGATGTAAAAGTGATGAAAATCCTAAGTGGGTGAGAGTGAGAGAGGCCATCCTTCCTTAAAAGTTATGATTTAGTTTTTAGGAGATCAAAATTCCTGAGCTGGCTCCATAACATGTACATGTACTATTATGATTTACATATTTAGCATCCTGCCAATGTTGGGGACATCAACTGGCAAAATACCAAAGTTGATAATACCAGGGGTCTGGCTTGAAGACTAATTACATCAATAAATATTCATAATTGAATGACACATGCCTTTAAGACTAAAACAATAACAACAACAACAGTATGAGTAAATTCCTAGAAGGGACCCAGTTGGAATGTTCATATATCCCTGTATACAACAAGTTTCCTAACACATATATATATTCTCCTTTTGGTCATTTCCCTTTTTCACATGTTGCATTGGTTTTATATGGGGTTGTCCCGTACGTCACACACTTGTCCCGTACGTCACATTTCTTAATTTGATTATGTAATCAACACAGAATTTTCGTAATTTTTGTTAAACCTATTTTTTGCTAGGTATTCATCTAAATTAGAACTTCCTAGAATATCTTTTTAAAAAAAAATTATTTTCATAATTAAAATTAAACAAATTAATGTCAAATTGTGACGTACGGGACATCACACTTTGGAACCTACCTCATTTGCATAATTAATTAATTTTGAAAGTTTTTATATTTTTTTCCTATTTTCTAGTATGATGGTCTACATGTCCTACAATATTTAATTTTGAAAAAATAATTCAAATGAGATACAAAAATTAAAATGTAATGTCCCGTACGTCACGCTAATTAACACAAATCAAAGTTTGTGACCTTGGCATTCTTCGTATTTTGATGATTTTTTATTTTTTTTATCAGATTCATAAAATTCATAGTTTCAGCTTTAAAATGATGTATAGTTTGTTAAATATATATAAAGATGAAATTTGACCCCCAGAGGGGACAATAGCTTGGACCTGCCCTTAAATTTTCACTGTTTCGGAGTCAGTTATTGGCAAAGCGAACCAGTTTTCGGCCGCATGTACAAAGTCAATAGGAAGCGCGCGCGCGCGCACCGTGCGTTTCCGTGCTGATTTGTAGTACTAGCGGGTGGAGCAGGTATCCCACGCCGGAGCTCCCCGGAGCTCGCCAGGCCGAAAAAACATTGGAATCTGAATTAGACAGAGATATCTGAAAAATACTTTTATGGTACCCATATTTCTTATAGACACGCGTAAGATACTCGATTTTTCAGATTCGGGTAATGGGACCGCCTATTACATCGCTAAAATGTGATATTTTAGGATTTATTTTTCATTGTAAATGTGGTTCTTTAATGACTCTGGCATGGTATGGTATGTGTGGGATATGCGATATGCTATTATGCGATGTATTTTAAAGGGATTTTACCATGCATCCAACCAATCAGCTGAAAACTGAAGCTGGTCGATTACCCCCTCCTTTACTCTATACACAAATATACACACCACAAAATATCGCATAGACTATACACAATCATGTCGATGCAGCTGTAAGCAAAGTTTGACACTAGACTTACAATTTGAATTTTTAAATTATTCTTTTTAACATCAGTAAGTTAAAAAAAATGTGTTTCACTGCTATTTCATACATGCCAACTGTTCAGATTAAAGAGGAACATTCCTCTTTTTGGGAGAAGATAATTATCATTTTAATGCAGGTGTTCCTCTTCCTGTACAAATTTGTCTGTAGTATTGAATAGGAGAGTTAGGATTGTTCCTCTTTTTTTTGAAAATAGCATAATTTGTACAGATTTCTGATTTTCAAATGTTGGCATGTATGCTATTTAGGTGTCATCAATTGTCACTAAAGTGCCGATTTTGAGCGATTTTTTAGGTCCTCTCTAAGGATATCATATCATGCCTTACCAAAGCGCACTAGCGCATCGACTTGGTTTCAAACCCCGGTCGCAAGATTACAAGACCACTACCAGACCTGCCAACCATCACGATTTAGTCGTATTTTGTATGATTTTTAGAAGCAAATACGACAGTACGATTTTCTTCAATAAAATACGATTTTCAAAACAAAAACAAATGATTATTTATTTATTTTTTATTTTTTTTTAAATTAAATTTGTTCATTAATTAATTTTCAATGGCAAAATGCCCATTCTGTCCTGTAAAGTATCCTTAAAGCATCTCACATACATGTAGGCAATTTGGGGATGTTTATTGGTTCATCGAACACACCAGTCGATTAAAGAGATTAAAGAATACAGTTTTTGAACTCCAGAGGTTGGCAGATTTGCACTGCTCTACTAACTGAGCTATCGCACCTCCTCTTAATGATATAACCGACCACAGTATCTCCCCACAAACAATAGATTTGTACAAGTGCTTTTCTGACTCATGTGAAGGACTGATAAACTTACATTCCCTCTGTCTGTCTGTCTTTGCAGCCTCGATGATGTGAGTCAAGACATCCTTGAGACACCCCGACCAAAAAGGGCCAGGAATTCCATTCATGCAGGTAAGAATCGCTTCCCCCGTAATAGAGGTTTGTGATTTATTAGAACATAAGTGAATTAAACATGCATACCAATAGTAGTGGGCTCTCATGGGGAACTTGACACCATCATGCAGGTGTTGTCAAACACCAGGGACCCGTTTCTCAAAGCCTTTTTCCAATGAAAAATGACAAAAATCAGTCACAAATCTGCTGATAAGCAAGGATTTCAGTAGCTTATAACAAAAACTGTCATTTGTCACTGATGACAAGTTTTGGGAAATATGGCCCAGGATTAATCTTCACTTTTATGACCAACAGGCTTGTTTTAATGCTCTGCATTTTCCACCAATCGTCCCATATGGAAAAGTCATTATCTTACTTCTCCCTCACCCAAAGACTCTCTCTCAGTGCCATATCGATTGAAGTTTGCGATCATGCTGTTCCACAATCCTCGGTTCCTAGCCTTCTCTATTAGCACCACTCCCAGTTCTTTCACTCCTCTCTCTTCCAACAATTTCTGCAGACTGTCCATTCAAAGTATCCTCCTTCTTCCCCTACTCCTCCTTCCTTCGCAGAGACTAGGGGGTATTTCATGATAGGACTACGGGTTTGATGTTATTTCATAGAACAAATGTTGTAGAGGATTCTAGAAGTATATGATTTTATTGCTTGTTTGTCATTCAGATGACTCGAGTCGGTCTCGAGCGACCACTCCCCTCGTGAAAGTAGCCAATTGGATTCATCAGAAGGCCTCCACCTTTGGGGAGACGTACTTCTTCCGTCCTGTGGGAAACCTGGTACAGAATACCTATCCCTCACCGATTCCAGGAACATCAGATGGCAACCATCTGCAGCATTCACAGGTTTGTTTATCTGTAGGCCTACCCATGTCATGTACCTTTGTTGCATATTCCGCTGTAACAAACATCTTTCGCTAGTAATGTGTCAGTTTCCAATTACTGCATTCATGAAACTTGTAACAACAATTAAATAGATAAATGAAATTTAGGAGAGAGACTGTGGGAAGACTTCAAAGCTTTAGAGAGAAAGAGTGAGTGAGTGAGTTTGAGAGGGGGTAGGGTGGAGAAGGTATAAGGAGGGGGAAGGAAGAGGTTAAATTTATCTTTAAAAATATGTAGAAGAAGAAGAGTTACACCATCAACACTTATTTGTGAACCAGAATGTTCTTTTAGTTTTGTCCATGTTTTCTTTGGTACAGGTCATGAGTGATACACCAGGTGAGCCAGTAAAGAGTAAACATGTGAACACAAATCAACCTGTCAAAGTAGACTTCAAACAACCAGGTACATATTTCTTATATTACTTCTTAAAATGAAGAATAATACTTATTTCTCTTTAAAAAAAAAAGCATAACCATGTATCTGACTATCAGTCAACCTCCTCACACCTAAAGTTTTTGATATGTTGAATTTATAGAGTACATGTAGGTATTGCATGTGATCCTAGATCCAGGCTCTTTCTATCCAGTTTGATGTACATATGTGCTTGAAAATACTGTGAATGATGCGATGTTAAAGGGGTTGTAGCATGACAAGAAAATGTGTCTTTCCTGTGACCTGACTCGGGGGCCAATCAGGCATAATACGACTACGGACGACGCGATCGGCAAGTGGTCTATGGTGCAACATGAAACCGAAGCGTGAGGAAAACTTTGGTCCGTTATTCGAACGCTAGCTCCCGCTGACAGTAAATAATAAAGTCCATTCGTTTACGTGCAGTTGTCCAAAAGAAGGCGTTAACCAGTATTTGCCATGCTACACCCCATTCAACAGTTTTATTCTTTGCCGTAGATGGAATACCTCATCATAAATCAGCTTCTAACACAAGTCAGCACCAACTCAAGCAGCAACCCCACCACTCTCATAACAATGGACGGCAGTTAGAGAGAGACAGCATGCAGGGGATAGGGGGAACAAGAACAGTGTCAAAAGAACAACCTCCTAACAAAAGGTTAGTTGTCACTTTTTTCTGAGGTTTTATGAACCGTTTTATGAACTGTCATATACAGTGTTGGTCAAAAAGAGGTTTACACCTAGAAATTTGCTAATTATTTTAAAAATTATCTATGAACAGTAAATTATTATACATCTTATGAAAGAGTGTTTTATCCCGATTCATTTAGTATCATTTGTGTGTGGTATGTGTTCACGCTTGGATGAACAGGAGACAATGTTTAAGAGAGTGCAAAAATCACCTTGTGTCAAAGTAATGCTTGAATTTGATGTTTGAAAACAATTGGGATTTGGGTATCAATTCGGTCATTGCAGATCCAAATAACATCCCTAACAAAATCAATCATGCCACACATATCAAATATCAAAGAATATTTGTGCGTGTGTGTGTGACTTTGCTTCTGCTCAAAGCATATGCAATGCATCTCATTTGATGCATTCAATTCATTCTCTCACTTGAATACTTTTGTGCAAGTCGATTTTTGCACTCTCACAAACAATGCCTCTTGTTCATCCAAGCGTGAACACATACCACACAAAACTGATACCAAATGATTCGGGATATAACACTCTTTAAAAAAGAAGTTCAAAGGGTTATACATTTATATGAAAAATAGCTTCTTTCTTCAATTATTTTATTTTTTTCTTTTTATCTCAAACAATACACAGTTCAACGTCCCACCTTGGGAACTCATCTATGTCGACCACCAAGCATGGTTGCTCATCTGTGGCTGCCACCGGTCTGTCCAAGCATGGTAGCTCCTCTATGGCTGCCACTGGTCTGTCCAAGCATGGTAGCTACACCCCTGTCAGGGATAAGCTGTTCCCACATCCCAAGAGAAGAGTTGTACTTACTCAGGCCTCTAGAGGACATCCTCACATACCAACCAACACACAAACGGTCAACGAGGTAAGATCTGTCTTTCACAAGTCCTGTATTTTGTCATTCTTACATGTTTGTGTCCTACTGTCTTGTTAACTTATGGGTTTACATTTGAATTTTAGACCCCTTTTTTACACAAATGATGCATGTTTCAATCGTTCATTATATGATCTATCTGCCCTCTTTGAGGCTGTGTGTATCTATTGCACTCAGCCTTACAGCTTCTTGCAATAGATACACACAGCCTCAACTCGAGCGTGGATAGATCGTATAATGAACTCATGCGCATGCATCATTTGTATATTGTCAGGTGTCCTGAAGGCTCCACTGGTACTTGGACTTGGTTTATAATAACGGAGCATGTGCACTCTCATTTGCGGATTAGCAATTTAATCCACATATACATTCTTTCTTAGCAGTCAGGTAAAAACTAACGAACAAACATATTTACCGAAAAACTTTCTTTTGTTGACAGTGTGTAAGGTTAAAAGAGAGACAGCAATACAAGCAGCTATTGGAGCAGTTTACCATGGGTAGTCTGAAGCCATCCTTTGACTCAGAGGCCACTTTGAATGAGAGCAAGGCAAAACCAGCTGCAGTAAGGTAACCCATCTACTCTTAAAGCCCCACTGTCCTACTTGTAGCTACTTGCTCCCTCTATATAGAAAACTTCCCTAATCAGTGCCTGTTCGTCCCCCATGATCCGCTTTTTCTTATGTTAGTTGAGAGCAGAGTTAATGAGATAGCCACCTGTCAGTGATCTCGCTGTGTGGTCTAATCCCTTCTGGCCCAGTAGTATTGACAGTCTTTAACATACACCAGACACAGTCACATTAATCATGTGTACAATCATATATAAATAATGAAAATGTAAACAATGGTCATGATTTGAGTTTTCTGATTTTAACCAAACCATATTGATGAAGAGATTTATAATATGATCATGTAAATATGAGGGAGATACATGTATGCATACAGTATGAGTCAAAATAAACTAACCCCCCTAACGCGTGTAACGTTTGCAATACGTTAATTATTTATTTAACGGGTGTAGGCGTTACCCGTTAGACGTTAGCGTTACCCGTTAGTTTTGTTAGTTTTGTTAGTTTTGTTAGTTTTGTTAGAAGTGTTAACTACTAACCTTTTTAAAACATCGTACTTATCATCTCAAAATACGAGCACGAGTATGTTCAAAATTATTTACGATAAAACAATGCCAAACTAATCTTAAACATCCTAATTATCTTCTCAAAATTAGCGAACGAAGTTACGATATGTGCTTCGAGAAAATGATGCCTAAAATATCTAAAAACATCGTAATTATTTTCTAAAATTGACCGAAAGAAGGAACGATATATGCGCTCTAAGAGAATGATGCCAACAATATATGAAACATCGTACTTATCATCTCAAAATACGAGCACGAGTATATTCAAAATATTTAACGTTGAAACAATGCCAAACTAATCTGAAATATCCTAATTATCTTCTCAAAATTGGCGAACGAAGTTACGATATGTGCTTCGAGAAAATGATGCCTAAATATCTAAAAACATCGTAATTATTTTCTAAAATTGACCGAAAGAAGGAACGATATATGCGCTTCAAGAGAATGATGCCTACAATATATGAAACATCGTACTTATCATCTCAAAATACGAGCACGAGTATATTCAAAATATTTAACGTTAAAACAATGCCAAACTAATCTGAAACATCCTAATTATCTTCTCAAAATTAGCGAACGAAGTTACGATATGTGCTTCGAGAAAATGATGCCTAAAATATCTAAAAACATCGTAATTATTTTCTAAAATTGACCGAAAGAAGGAACGATATATGCGCTTCAAGAGAATGATGCCTACAATATATGAAACATCGTACTTATCATCTCAAAATACGAGCACGAGTATATTCAAAATATTTAACGTTAAAACAATGCCAAACTAATCTGAAACATCCTAATTATCTTCTCAAAATTAGCGAACGAAGTTACGATATGTGCTTCGAGAAAATGATGCCTAAAATATCTAAAAACATCGTAATTATATTCTAAAATTGACCGAAAGAAGGAACGATATATGCGCTTCAAGAGAATGATGCCTACAATATATCAAACATCGTACTTATCATCTCAAAATACGAGCACGAGTATATTCAAACATTTTTACGATAAAACAATGCTAAACTAATTTGAAACATCCTAATTATCTTTATCAAAATTAGCGAACGAAGTTACGATATGTGCTTCGAGAAAATGATGCCTAAAATATCTGTAACATCATAATTATCTTCTAAAATTGACTGAACAATGGAACGATATATGCACTTCAAGGAAATGATGCCTGAAATATCTGAATTATCATCTCAAGATACGAGCACGAGTATATTAAAAAAGTATTTACGATAAAACAAAGCCAAACTAATCTGAAACATCCTAATTATCTTCTCAAAATTTAATAGCGAAAGAAGTAACGATATGCGCTTCGAGAAATTGATGCCTAAAATGTCTGAAACCATGCCCCAAATGGCCAGTCTACACTTTATCCTCTTAAGTCCCTGCTTACGGTACTCGGTTTCAGGACATCACTTTCACAGGTCATTCCTTTACCTTTTCTCCAAGTAAATCCAATTATCTCTAATCATCTTAACTAACGAGGGACAATATGTATTACGTAATTACCTTGGCTACAATGCCTTCAATCACGAGTGTGCCAGATTAACTGCGTTTGTCTCAGTGTGTGTGTGTACTAGAACTTGTACTACATGTATACATTGATCGCGGGACAGAGAGAAGCGGAGACAACTGATGTTACAGGCTATTATAACAAAAAGGTAAGCCGACAGACCGAAAGAAATGAATGAAGAAAATGAATACCAGTATCACTGGCGCTTTAAAAAATAAAAGAGAAATATATCGCGGGAGAGAAAGAAGCGAAAACAGTTAAATATTGATGATGTTACAGGCTTTCATGACAAAGAATAAGCCTACGCAACGGCAGAAATGATTGAAGAAAATGAATGCCAATATCATCGGCGCTTGAAAAAATAAATGGGTTGCGGAAGAGAGAGAAGTGAAATCAATTAAATATCGCTGATGTTACAGGCTTTTATGACAAGTACGTCGACGGAACGAAAGAAATGATTGAAGCAAATGAATGCCAATATCACCAGGCGCTTGACATAACAAAAGAGATATAGATCGCAGGGGAGGGAGAAGCTAAACAATTATACATTGATGATGTTACTGGCTTTTACGACAAAAAGTAAGTCGACGGAACGAAGCAAATGATTGAAGCAAATGAATGCTAATATCACCAGGTGCTTGACAAAATAAAAGAGATAAATCGCAGAGAAGAGAGAAGCGAAATCAATTATATATCGCTGATATTACAGGCTTTTATGACAAAAAATAGGTCGATGGAACGAAAAAAGTGATTAAGGAAAATGAATGCCGATACCACTGTCATCACCAGGCGCTCGAGAAAATAAAAGAGAGAGGAGCGAATTCAATTATACTGTATATCGCTGATGTTACAGGCTTTTATGACAAAAAGTAAGTCGACGGAACGAAAAAGTGATTGAAGGAAATGAATGCCAATATCACGGATATCACCAGGCACTTGAGAAAATAAAAGAGAAAAGCGAATCAATTATTTATCGCCGATGTTACAGGCTTTCATGGCAAAGAGTAAGCCTACGTAATGACAAAAATGATTGAAGAAAATGAATGCCAATATCACAGAACTACACATGCAACTACACTGTGAAGATCACTCCCGGCCCTTGGCTCATGAATATTACTGTCAGATCCTGAATAGGGGCTATGATAGGATTAGCAGGTAATCCCTTAAGAACAACCCTGTAAATGTGATGTCCCTTCTTTCTAAGGGGATGTTTGCGTCATGCATCGTAATTATCATCTAAAAAAACAAGCACGCATATATTCAAAGTGATTTACGATAGAACAATGCCATATATTAATCTGAAAGATTGTAATTATCTTCTAAAATTTACCGAACGAAGTCTGGATATGCGCTTCAAGAAAATGATGCCTATAATATCTGAAATACTGTAATTATCATCTCCAAATACGAGCGTGGAATTTAAAAACTTTTTTCGACGAAATAATATCACACTTATCTTAAATTAAGCTGATATGATGACTCATGCAGACGGACGATAAATGACTTCAAATCCAGGCACTAGGGGGGGGGGGGGGGGGGGGGGGGGTAAGAGGACATTTTTGTTTGTCCCAAAATTTGAAAATTTGGCCGATCGATTTATTCGTTTCGTGAGGGGGTAGGGGGGTTAAGGACGCCTTTTTGGAGTCACCCACATTTAAAAAAAAAAAATCCAAAACACGCAAATAACATACTTTCAAGGGTTTTACCCCCCCCCCCCCCTTCTGCGTACGCGCCTGATCTGAGCTGATTACGGATCTGTTCAGCCTCTCTACTCTACGTCTCTACATCGCATGTCAATCATGATAAACAGTGGCCTCTTTTGTTCACTTTTGCAGTACATAATAATTGGAAACCCCCTGCTGCCAATCACGAGAAACACCTCTAATTTCTCCATGCCTTTAAAGGCACATTGTCCTACTTGTAGCTACTTGCTCCCTCTATATAGAAAACTTCCCAAATTGGTGCCTGTTGAGCCCCCATGATCCTCTTTTTCTTATGTTAAATGAGAGCTGAGTTAATGAGATAGCCACCTGTCACAGTGACCTCGTTGGCTCGCTGTGTGGTCTAATCCCTTCTAGCTGCAGTAGTAACGCCTACCTTTAAGGCCAAATAAAAAAATAAACATGTTTAGCGTCCTGTTTTTTCGAAAAATAAGAAGGAGGCCCTTTTTTTTTTTTTTTTCCTTGAAAATGGCCGCTCGGTACATTTTCCCTGACAGTCGGGCAATTTTTCAAGATGGCGGCCAACATTTGTTTTTTTGTTTTTTTTTAAATCAGAAGTAGATCCATTTTAGCAGTGTTTTTCATGTTTAAAAAAAAATAAAAAATAGGAGGCGGCCCCCAAAAAGGAAGCGGGCGGGGACCCTAAACATGTATATATTTTTAAATGGCCTAAAGGTAAGGAATATTATTGGAAACGCCCCAATTTGAAAACAAAAATGAAATGGTAGCTCTTATTACCAATCATGTGAAAGAATATGTTTTGACTAATACATGATGATAAACATTTTGACGGGAAACCGCCTACTACTTGATATATTTGCTAAATTAGTTTATCTATTCATGGACCCTACTGTCCATGATCTATTGGACGGTGATTATACGGGTGATAGATAAAACGCACGTGTGCGTAGTCCCATATACATCTTACTGTGTATGGTGCTTGTAACTCCAGTAATGTTCTCTCCAGTAATGTGAAAGCTGTCACCTCTTGCAACCGAACCCAAGCCAAGGCCCTTGTCCAGCGTGCACTCAAGCCATTGCAAGAGAGGCCTGAGTGCACACCGAACAATAGCCCGCCCCAAACCCAGGTCCAGCCACAGGAGGCAACTATTTCACATTACTACATTACGAAGAATTGGCCAAATTTCTTATAATTTTGATGATTCCAGAACCTTGCAGTATACACCAATACTTATATG